ACTATCTCGGAACCAATCCAATGTTGTCGAACACATACAGTGGTAGGGAAAAGAATCTCAAGATGCTCGAGCTCACGGACAGCGCGGCGGAGAGTATCAGCGATGGGGACCTTGTCGACCGTATGATCCACGGATCTCAGCAGCAATGGGCTCTCATGCCAACTCATGCTGTATTCAGTTTTGTGCGGCCTGCTAGTTTCGTCGCTGGTAGTCAAGCTGGAAGCCAAACTAGATTCACCTCCTGGCTAGGTAATAACAGCAAGCTAGGTACGAGAATTGGCATTCGCTGTCACGCTCCACGTCATGCTAACAACGTTCGTCAGGCAAGCTTATGCGTTTCGTCAAAGAGATACAAGGTCACATGCGCCTTCGAGCTTCTGGTGACCGGCACGAGATCCGCCAGCAGTACCTTCCCCTGCTATGGTACCGGCTTGTGAAGGAGCTTCAGTTACAAGGCAAGGATGCATTGGGGAGCATCATCGATCTTATGGACAGCTACTACCTTACGAAAGACGACTGGGATGCAATACTGGAGCTTGGTATTGGTCCGATGGACATGGAACAGATCAAGATCGATACACAGGTCAAAGCCTCGTTCACGAGGACATACAATCAGGTGTCACATCCTCTTCCCTACATGAAGGCAAGCTCAATCGTTGCCCCAAAGAAGAAGAGCAAGGAGAGGCCAGACATTGAAGAGGCTCTGGATGAGTCGGATTCGGGGGTGAGCTCTGGCGGCGAGGAGGCAATTCTCGATGATGATCAACCCCTGGATCTGAAGAAGGACAAGTACGTTGCAGCTCCGAAGAAAAAGAAGCAAGCAGCGGCCAAAGGAAAGAGGGGGGCTGCGAAGGGAAAAGGGAAAGGAAAGGCCAATGAGGAGAGTGACGAGGAGCTGGACGATGAGGATGATGGGAGCGAGGACGTCAAGCCTCGAAAGGGTGCCGGTACAAAGGGGAAGGCGAGGTGGAAGAAGTAGGAATGCGGATGCTGTGCTGGAATTGCTGCACGGAGGTATGGGTGAAGCAGCTACTTCTGGCTCTATTGATGAGCTGAACTTTGTAATCTCTCGCTGCCCGCGCGTACATGTTTGCATATGCTAAGAGCATCCAATAGTAGCTGCAGGCGATGGCTATCCACGTCCCCCTTAGAGCCAAGGCGACATCTGAAGTGTTTGTTTTGTGGTAGCCTTTGTTCTGTGCGTTGGAGCCTTGTTCAAGAGTCAGTCGATTGCGCAAGCCGTGGCGCTATTGCCGCTTGGGGCAATCCTTGATGACATTCGCCCATGGTGGCCCTGAGTTGCAGGACGGATTTTTGGATTTGCTCTCACGACATGCGGCGCGGCATCAGCGATGGCGTTTGAAGAGCTCCATGAATCGCGGTGGGCCGGAAAGTTCCCACGGAAAGGATTTTTCGAGTAGCTACTTATTGCTGCAGCAGTACGGACGGATCCTTTTCGCAATCAGACCCTTAGAGCGAGGCTGTGCCCTCCCCCCCCTCCCCCTCTACCGGGTCCTCCATTCTATTCGTTTGCAGAAGATGTTCGCTGTTAATTACGAGTACATTAATCAGGAAGACAGAGTCACAAATGCTTCGATTTACCTCTGTCGTGAACCAACACCACTGTGCCTTTTTTGCAAACATCTAGCATACGGGTGATGTTGAATAATCATGGATGACAGGGGAGCAGAGTTGAATTGCGAAGGCGCTAATGGAGGGGACGAGGGGTGGTGGAGAGGCCGACGAAGCTTTCAGAGTCTGAAACATGACGCTTTGATGCGAATGATGCTTGCTAGGGTTTGAGACTGAACATTTGGGGGTCGCTCGGGGGGTGGTGCTTTAGGGTGCTTTAGGGTTCCTTAGGGTTCCTTAGGGTTCGAAGTCAGTGAAGTTAGGGTTCGAAGGCTCGTAATGAATGGTCCACTCACAGTCATCCCTTTCCCTTTTCTCGCCTACTAAGTACCTACCTTAAGAGCAATAGACTACCTTACGTATTTAATTTAATTTAATTCCCGTCGAATAAAGAAAAATCCTAAAACACCAGCCATGCCGCCCATGCCGCCCATGCCTCGTACCTGCAGATGATGAGAACTTACCGTACAATTAACTAGTTATAGCATTCGCAGATCTCGCAATGGCAGGCTGGCAGCATGCAATGGTCCATCCGGGGCTGTGGGGTCAAGGGTTCCTCAGAAATTCCCTCACCTTGACTGGCCTACCTTCCCCCTTCCCCCTTCCCCCTAGCATTCTTCCAACTGTTGGACGCCAATCCATATTCACTCAGATCTCCGACTTGCCCGAGATACCGTACGTCGTCAAGAATCTACCCCCATCACTTCCACAACACTTTACCCCCAATATACCAAGAGTCTCGGACGTCGCGCGCTGCCTATGCTCTCGCCAACGGGACTGCAAGCGGTGATACGGGCGTCGCGCTGGGCTACTTGATTACTTCTCCGCTTTGACTTCTGTCAGAGTCCGCAAGAATGGGCTTCGACCGCTGGAGCGGCTCGTCCGCCACGAGCCCAGAGATGAAGACGCATTTTGAGCCCATGGAGTACGATGAAAGGAACCACAGCATTGCTCCATCCACCAGGAAACTTTCGCTCAACGCAGCCGATCTCATGCGCCGCAACGCATCTGCCAAGTTGGCCAACCCCTTGGCTGGCATAAGTCATGCAAAACTGGAGGAGATGGGAGCAACATACGCAAGGAAGCATCACATTGGGGACGAAGAGGATGTCAGGGCTTTCCGAAAAGGCGCCGTCCTTGCCCAAGACCCTCGCAGATTCGCCCAGGTTCAGGGTCTGACAGGAATGGAGTTGGATGTACTTCAAAAGGAGTTCGACAATCGCTGGGCCCAGCCTAAGCTCATGTATATTGTCATCATACTTTGCTCGACCTGCGCCGCCGTCCAAGGAATGGGTCAGTGACATCTATCTGCCATCATGCACCAACCTTCCAGCTGACCTGTGAGCAGACGAGGCCGTTGTCAACGGGGGCCAGCTATTCTACAGGTATCAATTTGGTATTGACGGCAAAGATCCGCGCTCAACATGGCTTACCGGCTTATTGAACTCTGCTCCTTACCTTTGTTGTGCCTTCATTGGATGTTGGCTAACCACGCCTTTTAACAACCTCTTTGGTAGAAGGGGTACTATATTCCTTACTTGCGTCTTCTCAGCTCTGGCTTGCTTCTGGCAAGGGTTCGTTAACACCTGGTGGCACATGTTTATTGCGAGATTCTTCCTCGGATTCGGTATTGGCCCTAAATCCGCAACGGTTCCTATATACGCTGCGGAGACATCTCCGCCGGCGATTCGAGGTGCACTGGTTATGCAGTGGCAGATGTGGACTGCTTTCGGTATCTTCTTTGGATACGTCGCAGATCTCGCATTCTACAGCGTGCCTGACCCACCAGGCATTGTCGGGCTGAAATGGCGTCTGATGATGGGATCAGCCATGCTGCCCGCGCTCATCGTCATCGCTTTCGTCTTCATGTGCCCCGAATCTCCACGTTGGTACATGAGCAAGAACCGGCATTACAAAGCATACCAGTCTATGGCCAGGTTGCGATACCAGAAAGTGCAGGCGGCCCGAGACGTCTACTATATGCACACTCTGTTAGAGGCTGAAAGGGAGATCGAAGCAAACCAGGGGAATCCACTGCTCGAATTGGTCAAGGTTCCTCGGAACCGTCGAGCGATGATAGCTTCTGAGATCGTGATGTTTATGCAGCAGGTCTGTCACGGCCGGAAATCTTTCTGGTGAAATATCTCACTAATATTGACATAGTTCTGCGGGGTCAACATCATTGCTTACTACTCATCCCAAATCTTCTTAGATGGTGGGTTCTCGCCCATATCAGCCCTGACTTCGTCTCTCGGATTTGGACTAGTGAACTGGCTTTTCGCCATTCCCGCGGTCTACACTATTGATACATTCGGACGGCGGAATCTTCTTCTGACAACTTTTCCGCTCATGTCAATCTGCATGTTCTTCACAGGTTTCAGCTTCTGGATACCAAAGGATACCATGCATACCACCAGAGTCGCCTGTATATCTCTTGGTATTTATCTCTTCGGCGTTGTCTATTCACCAGGAGAAGGTCCAGTGCCATTCACCTACTCAGCAGAAGCCTACCCACTCTATATTCGGACGGTTGGTATGTCCCTTGCGACTTCTACGACTTGGTTCTTCAACTTCGTTCTCTCAATCACCTGGCCCAGTCTCCAAGCTGCTTTTACCACACAAGGCGCCTTCTCATGGTACGCCGGCTGGAACATCGTGGGGTTCTTTCTGGTGCTCCTGTTTATGCCCGAAACAAAAAGCAAGACGCTCGAGGAATTGGACCAGGTGTTTTCAGTGCCGACACATATCCATGCTGCATATGGCTTGAGACAGATTCCGTACTTCTTCCGGCGGTATCTGCTACGGCAACACGTTGAGCCGGAACGTTTATATGACAATGAGGATACGGCAGAAGACAAGGACTTGGGCTATGACGATCCTGAGAGTCACACTTAGTAGGACGTCAAGCACCGGTACGGGATGAATTGTATTGAGTACTTTGGTCAAATGGAGTCAAAGGAAAGCTGGTGGACGGTGTCTGGCGTTTACCATGTCATGTTATATACCACTGTGATTACCTCTGCAAAGCTGAAGCTTTAGCAACCCTTACACTATATCCGCTGCATTGAACAAGGCATAATTCTGTATAACGGAAATATCCTGATGAAAATGGTTCTATCAAAGCGCAAGGGTGAGAGGGTGAGTTACCCCGAGTCCCCGCGCCTGACAACTCTTCGAAGTCCGAGGCCCACGAACAATTTTTCTGAATTTTCTGCATTGACAAAATTGTCGGCCACTGGTGGTGGAATGCCCGAACAGTGACAGATTCTCAGGCATGAAACCCAAACACCCGAACACATGCGAATATTATTGAAATAGGAGATTCAAATGGTATTGAGCAAGGGACGCACGAGCCAGGAGACGATAACTCACGTCGCGTTGTTCTTTCCTGCGATGTCCATCTTATCCATACATGCCGCATCTGTTTCACATATGCATTTGTTCTCTTGGGTGAGGACCCACAACAGCATTGAAAACTTTCGCTCAGGGTGCTCGGAGTCCAAGCATGACTTTCGGATCCATGCGATTAAAGCCAGCAGCATTCCGTACTTTTCTAAAGCCATCATGGATGCCACGACAGTCCTTGGTACTTCTGTTGGAGTACCTCATGCAAAGCTCCCCCATCCTCACAAATATTCGACAGCGCCAGTGCCTTCTCAGCCCAAAGCCTGCACGGCACATCTTGCGAAGTACAATAAAAGTCAATTGCGCGATTGAAGGTCGTTGTTGCAAGCCATTCGAGTTCTTCTGGTGGATACGGCTTTGACTGCTGTAAGGGTGACGAAATCACCTGTATCAGGTCATCCGAACTACATATCGAAGGAGTGGAGTCTCTCACCTTTCTCGCGTCTTCTGCGATAGTCACAGCTTGGTCGAGAAGCTGCACCGCTATGTCTCTTTCCGAAAGAGCCAATGAGAAGAGACATCTGATCCACCTAGAAAGCTTGTCGGTGCCGCCGTTATTGTGCTGCCAGGTGATGTTGATAATTTGCTGCAAAGGCATGAGTATCTACTATCTAACGATACACGTCGAAAATGAAACATTTACCTGTATCGTCGTGATCATTACTGTTCTAAGTGTCAGGTCAATTGGGCTTGGACAGTTACTAGGGAGGCTTGCCGTCACCTGGTGCTTCAGAAGAAAGCGTGATATCTGCAAATAAACCATATATTTTTGGATCTTCAAAATCTTGGGATTCCTAGACCCGCCTTTTAGCTGTGTGTCCAAACATTGCCATCGAATTTACACACCTTGATGATCTGATCCAAGCTATCCCAGGCTTTGAGCCGTGCGGCTGCCTCGTAATCAAAAGCCAAAAGACTTGCATACTTGTGCTGCAGGTCGCCTTTAGCGCCTCCCTCCAACCTGTTGACTTGGCCTTTTACGTCGACTCGAAAGTCATCGATCACCTTGCGCACGTTGGTATAGTGTTGGAGCTGACAACAGTAAGCTTAGAAAGGTACTAAGGCTCTAGTTTGATTACCTGGTGTTCTACATTATCTTCGCATCGGGCAAGCACAATCAATAATGAGCCGCACAAGAAATCGCAGAAAAGTCTTCGGAGAGACAAGTCTGCTGTCACGTTGAGGTCGATGGCAGCGGGATAGAGCCCAATGAACTGCACGATCATCAGATTTGAAACATCCGACACTTGTTTGACTTACTCTAAGGCAAGATTGCACGAGCCGCAGTGTTTGTTCTGGACTCCAGCTCGTGCAATATTTGAGAGCCAGATTATAAGTGTTTCTTGAGAACCAATCAAGCTCTGCCAGCGAGAAGAGGTCGTTCGCGGCACTGCGCCTTGAGGTTCTTGCCTGGGCAGCAGCTTGGGAGCGTCAGTATGTGGCACGCTACAAACATCAGACGTACTAACCACCCTCGAAGAGCTTGCATATCTCATCAATGCAATCTGTGACGTGTGAGGGAGGATTTTCGAGTTCGCGAATGAGAAGACGAGCGGTGCATCTGGAATCATTAGTAAATGAAATTAGGCTGAGAGTCATTGCTTGCATACCGAAGCAAAGCTGGAAGGTGGATTTTATTGGGAGCGTTATAACTGTATTTCTCAAGGACCCGCTGCAATGAGTTTATTATCTGAAGGTGGTCCCCCGTCTGTTGCGCTTCCAGGACACATGCATAGAGCAAAGTAGCGTCCTTACTTGAGGCAGTGCAGATGGTGTCAATGCATTCGGCAGCTTGTCATCGTCAACTCCACTCATCCCTAGAAAAGACGGGAACATAGTCACCTAGTCCTGAGTCACGACATCTCAGTGCGACCTTGTAGAGCACGTACATGGTTGACGGATCCTTCTTGTTGGGGGACGACATTTGCGAATATACCTCTCGGGCTTTCGCTTGGTCTGACATGCTCAGAGCGCAGAGTATTAGCTTCCTGAGAGCAAGTTAGGTATCATTTCATCACAAGGGCATTTAGACGTATCACCTTTGCAACTTCCCAACGTTCACTTCGCCGGAACTGCTAAATACTGGATGCAATGAAAGCCGGCACCAAGCTTCGGCAGTGTCATATGTCTCGTGATTGTAGCTCGCTTCTATGCGCTTCCACAAAAGCTACGGGCGTCAGCACAAGGTCTGCAAGTTTTCTATCGCACGTACTATCTGCGCTGCGTGCGTCGCATGGGGGCTTAGAGCTTTGGCAGCGCTATGAGCCAGGGCGTCAAAGACCTCGCTTAGTGAAGTCAGAACATCCAAGATATCTGTAGAGTTCGTGCAATTCCAGATGATGGTGATCAATACTTTCTCAATCCATTTCGTTTCTTCTGCACCTAGCAGTCTTTCGGAGAGGAGCGTGACGAGCACATGGTGCGCCATGAGCGGACTTCGAGAACTCAGCTTATGCACATGATGTAATATGGTCTTGACGTTTATGTCGGTAAGATAGACCGTGCAGATAATCTTGTGGAGGATGTCGCAGTAATCTTGGGCGGAGTGGGAGGCATCAGTCGCAAAAACTTCGAGCTTCAGAAGTAGGACGACTAGTCTATTCCCACAGTCCAGCTCCAGTTCGCGAACAATGTTCCATGCTTTGTCTTGGCTGCCGTCACTCTCTAGGTTCAGAAGAGCTCTGGCCATGCTGTGCATGATGCTGATCCGAAGCTCTCCAGCATCGCTACTCAGCAAGTCCTGACTTTGGTTCAAGAGTACGTTGTGGGCTCTTTCCAGCCAATGTACGGCCTCAGCCCATTGGTTATTCTTGCTTTGACTGCCACCGATTTCGAAGAAGAGATCGGCAAGCTCCTCCGCCGAAGAGAGTTCAAGATTGTTCGTATCAAGATTCACTTTGTTCAGCATGAGCTTTGCAATATCGAGACGACCTTGCCGCCACGCCTATAAGTTCGTCAGTGAGGCTAATCCCTCCACTGAATTTTCCATAGGTAGCCGGAAAGACTCACCAGAGCAACCCTCAAACTCAAGTATTCATTTAAAAGGCGACTGACAAGCCGGCCGTGCTCCTGCGAAGTTACATCTCGGCAGCCCTTTAGCCTCTCCTCGTAGAAAGCAGCTCGTTCGACAGCTATTTCAGCAAGACTCAACTGGCGGTTGTCTGCTCTAACATGAGCTGAGTGGTGAGACGATGGCTTGAATCGATGATGGCTTACCCAGACAGTACCTTGACGTCCTCAAGGAAGACTTTAGTACTCGAAGATCATCTGGCGCCATGTCAGCCCCCACTCGTAGTCTATCTTGACAAAATTGGATTGGTACTTGAAGCGGAACCTTGGGTGCATCGTTGAGCGCAGTCGAGAAGAAGAAAAGCGAAGACGCGAACTGTCTTGGTCAGCATGAGCAAAAACGCCTTGAAAGCGAATCCTTGCCCAAGCAGAGCAGTTCCCCATCTTCGACTGTGTTCTTGAGCTTCGAGGATAAATTCCAGAGTCTAGTCCCGCGCTTGTCAAGATCAACCCGTCTACTGGCTGCTAAAGTATTACGGATCGAGACTGCGGTTTCAATTTTATTGTAAATATCCGCTGGTAGAGGCTTTTCAGGACTGGCAGAAGTAAGATATTCTTCGAGGAGCTTCGCAAACGCTATACGTGCAAGTCGCTGATTAGCTAGTCCTCGAGCCAGTAAGTCCCGCAATAGAACTGACCGAGGATCGAGTGCAACGCATTCTCCTTTTCAGCTCGTTTGATAACTGGTGCCATCGTATTCGCTTTGCTGAAATAGCATGAAATCACGGGAGTCAAGCAGGCTTAGAGTTCGATGCGGCAAATGCTACCAAAACGGCTTGGCGTTCTTATTCGAGTATCAACTGCAAGATCAGTATCAAACACCAAACGTCCACTGACCAAAACCCGGACAAAGAATGTGCTCCAAAGGTATACGCGGCCAGTCTTAGCAATTTCAACCTCGCGTTTCGAAAGACAGGCCTATTGACTCCCACGCTATGCAGAAACAAGAACCAAATCATATCCATCATACAGTTTCGAGTGCGTTTCCTCATCAGGAGATTCAACAGGCTTATGTCTTCCTCGGGCCCTGAGGGAGAAAGTTGCCCACTATCAGAGAAGGACTATCTCAGCCATCAGCAGTTTTCCGCACAGAATAATGCGGCAACCTTACATATTATGATTGTCTCGGCGGATCGTGAAAGAGAAGCAGCACTTTATTTCGGGATCAGAGGCCTTAAGGTCTGGGTTCTTTAAGGAACAAGTTGTCAACATAGCTTTTTGCGTATTGTCGAAAGCGATGGCGAGAAATTTGTCCCAGTAGCTGACTAGGTCTTTCTCCACAATTATCTCATGAAGAGCTAGCTTGCCCTGAAAGACTTCGTCAGCCGGACCTGAAGTATTCATCTGACATGGCTACTTATACTTACATCCCTAAGCTTCTCGATCGGAACGTGTATAAGCTCCGCCATTTCCTTGTTGCCTCGGAAAATCTCACCCGTTCGTCTCCAACAACAGGCGGGTATTGCCATACTTGCAAACACCCGGTCGTATTCCATCAAGCTCCTTTCAAACCACATCTCTACGAACGTCAATTCCATATCCGTCAGAGACTGCATGCGCTCGCGAAATTTGGGTCTGAACTTGTCCAGTTGGCGCAGGATTCGCTGACGAGATGCTGGCTGCATATTCTGATCCATGTAGCGATGCAAGCGTGCATAGCCTTGAATGTAGTTGAAAGGCCTAAGCATGCCGGCATTGTACTTGGCCATGAAGACTTTGTTCATGCGTTCCTCAGGAGTATCATTACCAGAGGGATCGGCTACGGTCATGTAGTATTTCTCCTCCTCTTTGTCGGTGGGTTTGACACTTTTTGGGCGCGCGATGCTAATATCTAGTCCTAGAGGGCCCTGGATTAGGCCAGAGGCCTGGGTCTGCTGTGAGTTCAACAAATTTTGACCGCTACCACCATTGAGACTGGCCGCTAGAGTATTGCTCAATGATGTGTCTGAACTGAGCGCTTGAATCTCGTCGTTCGGGAAGACGGTTGGATCATCAAGTAAGCTACTGCTTAGAAACTCGTTGAGAAGGTTATACTCGTTGGTGATGTCAGGTGCATTGAACATATAGGATGGGTGAAAGCTATGCATATCCGAAAACTGATTTTGATTTCCGAGACTCCAATCGCCGTAGCCAGGAACTTGTTCAGTCAGTGGGTATATTCATAGGATGAGAGGACTTGGTATGCTTCTCACATTGCTGATTCTTGTCTCCGAAGACCTGGCCCTGGCCTTGAGAAATAGGATCTGACGACTGCGGCAAGAATTGCGGATTGTCTGCCTGACTATCCGGTGCTGCTGTCCTTGTGATTACATTCGCGCCGGAGTCGTGCAGCGCCTGGTGACCCAGTTGCTGCTGGTCAACAGAAGGACTTAGCATGTACGGCAGAGAATTTTCCTGCTTGACAGCAGCTCCGCTATTTGACGTGGTGTTGGCTTGATCATTCTTCATCCCCTTCCCAGAGTCTCGTTGTTCATCGTGACACAAATGGCCAATGCTCCGTTTCACGCATCTGGCACATGGTCGATCCTATAGCCCATCATTACTACCTGTCCTCAATGTAGTCCTGGGGCTCCTGGTAGGAGGCCCATCGAAGCAATATTCTTACCAGATCGCAGGTCATATGCTATGATCGCCATAGCAAAACGAAGATCAGTCTCATGTTCGGATTCTCGTTGGGGCGAATGCCATGTCATATGGCTGAGGGAAGGTCATGCTTGGCTTGGAGTGCTGAGGAGGATTATGGCTCACCGAGCGCCTACAATAGATGCATGCTTTTCGCATGCCGTATTAGCATTTGGACTGATGGTGTATGGGGACGCCCTTTGATCATACCCACCGTGATTCACTTTGCGCCTCTTCTTCGGGCTCGTATGGTCCGCCTGTGGAGAGATTGTGCGCTGCGTCTTTGAACTTTCATCTTTTGACGCCATCGTAATGTCGATCGGTCTTCCATTACCCCGTTTCCCGGTAGGCCTAGAAATGCGCTGACAACAATGCAAAGGTTTGCCGTTGATGTTTGGCTGTGATTGGTAGCCAAAGGGATGGGGGAACCTCGAGTATCGACGATTGTTCAAACCCAAAATAAGACCCAACACCAACTCTCGATTTCTTCAAACCATTCGGCCATGTCTTGCGAACATGTAGCACTAAATTTCTCCATGCGACTCGTCCCAAACCACCTAAAAGGCTAGAGTATGTTTTGATTAGGAGACGCGTTTCTGTCCACCAGTCTCCAGAGCGTTCTCTACGTACGGTACCCTACGCTTCCTTGTGCCTTCCAGCCTTACTCCTCGGCCTCCTTTCTCGAAGGACTTTTCTTTCTATGGTAAGCTTTTCGTTTTTACCTCGATGTCGCTGTACGGATCGTATAGTCGGCTCATATTTGTGCCAGGGGAAACGCAAAAGCATTACTGGTGTGAGGAAGAGACCCAAAAGGACCACCATGTTGGTGGGATCTTCTGTGAGATCCGCGACCGTTGGTTCGTCGCCTTCAGTGTCTCCGGTGTCAGCCAAAACTCCACGGCCTAGACCACCACTTTCAATACGGAGTCCGCCGTCTGACAACTCCCTGTTAAGGAAGCGGGAGGCAAATAGAGTCGGCAGGCAGCGTAAGAGAGCCTATCTAGCTCTTGTATAACGTCTAAGCCACTCATAGGACCAGGATTGAAAGGCGACGGGTTTATGAAATCAAGGGTGAAGCACGTATCCCAAAACATCATACGTTCGAAATGGACGGTTCTAGATGGAGACGCTCAAGCGAAGGTAGAAGAGCTGTTGCGCTCAACAGAGCTACCAGTCCTTGCTAGTTACTCTTCGGAGCAACGGAAAATTGAAGCACAAATAGCTCTACGGTCTATCAACGGAACGTGAGTAGCATCCTAGGAGTGTGCTTTGCCGTGTTGCTAATCATCATCTAGGCTGTGCAAATGCCTTCCGCGGATGCCATTTCCTCCAAAGACTAAGGAGATACATTTTGATTACGATACACTTGTGAAAGATAATGTAGGCTTAAGGCGACTATTATGGACGTACTAATACTGATACTCACGTAGCGCGATCTGCAGCTGTCATTAGTTACTTCAGTGAAGTCCAATTTGTCACTTGTCAATGAAGTCGAGAAGCAGAAGCTTGCTCTTTCGTCAGAACGGCAGGAACTTGAGGGTCTTGGATCCGCAGACCGAAGAGTGGTCGGCTGAACCAAGCAGTGGGGGATGCGGCTGCATTGATATATCGTGCACAGATGAGCAGGATCTTTTCGTGAGGGAAGTGCTCCAGGGTCCAGTGGAGCAAGTATCAAGTGGAACCATATCATCGAAAAGAGCGACAAGTGTCCCCCCGAAAGGAATGTTCACACCGGGTTCGTGCCATACCTTGTGACCTGCCCAAGAGTGAGGTCTTCGAGACGAAAATGCAGACACTATCGATTCGCCGCGCTGGATCAACTATCACCCTGGGCTCAGTTCGCCGGTTTATGGTGTTCAATTTAGTTTGTGACTGCGAGCTCATTGATGTTTCCATGCACCAGCACCCCGTGTGCAGCAGGGTGCAAGTCTTCTCTATTTCGAAAATGGGCCTGACTGTTGAAGACGATTTGTCTCTTCAAGAGATATAGGTGGATAGCATGACCATGTATCATTGCAGGAGCTTCCCATGTTTGATTTGAAGGCGGTACTGCCCTTCTGCAGATATTGCTCCAGGTCCCATCACATTGAAAACTTTTCATACACTTGGTCTTTGGCCAGACCACGTAGTCTAGACAATGATACTCTTGAAATATGACACATGGGGGCCATGTTGAGAAAAACGCGATGGCGTAGTGCTTCTCTCTACTGTGATGTAGGTATGGTTGTTCTGGATATCTCTCAAAACATTGACAAAACTGCTCTCGATCTCTCCAAGAGAGAGTTTGCACTGGTGTTGAGCCTACTCGAGTGTTGGTCTTCTACCTGAATCTCTTCTTCACGGCCATCCGTAAATGACGAGCAGTCCTGAAAAGATGAGTCCTTGTCCAAGACTGATTTTGGTTTAATGATTCCCATACGATCCGAAGACCATAAGGAGTGGTCATGGTTATAGTTATCAACTAGCAAAAAAGAGATCTCGGATGAATCTGTTACAATACCAGCTCCTTCGGCTATCGCATACATGTCGCGTATTACCAGGGCTGGTAATTACCAGCCACCAGCCACCTGTTTTATGTACATAAATATCCGTACATCCTATGAATCAATCAATCAGTCTTTCAATTACAATCAATTTCTAACATGTCTGGTATCCTACTTTCAACAGAATCCTCACTATACATTTATGGCCGGTGTTGAAGTAGAATAAAATATGTGCTGGGGCGCGGGCTTCCCAGTAGTGAAAAGCTTGCCGAGTACTGGTTTTTGACTATATTTGATTCTCAGGGAGACCCCCCAAAACCCCTCGGACCCTTCGGGGGCTCTTTAAGGGCTCTCCGAGAGCTTGTATCGGAGGGGCTGTCAAAGCAAGCTCGAAATTTGATTATTTTAGTGATATTTGATTGATTTCGAGCTTGCTTTGACAGCCCCTCCGATATAAGCTCTCGAAGAGCCCTTAATCGTATCTACCCCCATTCGCGCCATACCCCCATTCGCGCCATACCCCCATTCGCGCCATCTTAAATCCGACAATTCCGACGCAACACCAAAATGCCTACCTTTCACCAAATTTGTATGGCAAACTAGCATAATAATATTGATCTATTATTACTATTAAGGCTTCTATATCGAAGAGCCTAAATTACTATTTTTAAAACCTTATCGGCCTATTATATCTTGAAAAAACCGGCATTATCTCTTCTTCTACTACCTCTTCTTCTTCTATCTCTTCTTTTTTACTATTTTTCTATCTCTTTTATCTCTTCTATCTCGCTATTATTACTATAATAGAGCGAGGTTTAATAGTAGTAATAGATCTAATATAAGAGACATAGTAGTCTTTTTCTTAACTGGGCTTAAGAAGGCTATATTTAAGTCTAGGATTAAGATATCTACTATATTAGATCTATAGACGACGACTATAATATCGTAGTATTAATCATTATAGTAGACTATAATAGTAGACTATTTAAATAAGTAATAGTGATAGCTATAATAGTGGTAGCTATCTATATCGAATTTATCGGATTTAAGATGGCGTAAATGAGAGTATAGCGCGAATAGGGGTAGATACGATTAAAGAGCTCCGAAGGGCTTAAGGGATTTTAAGGGGTCTAACCCTGAGAATCGAGAGACGTTATATTTCATTTGATATACTCAGAGGAAGACTCTCTGAAACCCCCCTTACCCTCCGAGGGCTCTCCGAGGGCTTCTGCCGGAGAGGCTCTTCTCGCAAGCTCGATAATTCACTAGTTTTTAATATATCTTCACGAATATCTTATCAAATTTCGTCTACGCTACGTTATCTGAAAGCGTATAAGTATTTCTATAACTCTACGTACTTAGTTTATTATCATATTTTTGATAAAAGAAAAGGAATCAAAAAAGGTGGATTTGAAGATTTTGAAGTTCTTTTCCAGCTTCCTCTTTTGGACGTACCCGTGTGTACCCGCGTTTAGATCGAAGATAAAGAAATAAGATGTGTTTTAGACTGAAAACGGTGAAATCCGATAATCTGATTGGTCACTAGCCTCTTAGCGTAGAAGCCATTTAGAATTTCAACTCTTGAGTATTAAGAAAGTAAGCTTTTCAATTATGCTTAGTACTCGTAAAATAAAGTATATATTCGTTATACCCTAGCACTAAGAGGAGAGAAAGAAAAGAGAGTTAGGGAGGAGGCAAGAAAAGTCTAATACGCCTACTTAGTTTTATAAGAAAACGCGAAATACTAGAAAATGCGAAATTTTTAAATTCGATAATCGTATCTATCTCTATTCGCGTTATACTCTTATTTACGCTATCTTAAATCCGATAATTTCGACGTAATATTAAAATATCTATCTTTTATTAAATTTATATAGTAAACTAGTATAATAATATTAATCTATTATTACTATTAAGGCTTCTATATCGAAGAGTCTAAATTATCGTTTTATAAATCTTATCGATTTATTATATCTTAAAAAAACCGTTACTACCTCTTCTTCTACTATCTCTTCTTCTTCTATCTCTTCTTCTTCTTACTTCTATCTCTTCTTCTACTATTTTCTTATCTCTTTTATCTCTTCTATCTCGCTATTATTATTATAATAAAGCGAGATTTAATAGTAGTATTATCTAGTATAAGTTTAATATAAGAGATATAGTAGTCTTTTTCTTAATTAAGCTTAAGTAAGTTATATTTAAGTCTAGAGTAAAGTATCTATCTATTATTACTAGAAAACGTAGTTTATTAGAAAATATAGTTATTTTAAATTCGATAAATTCGACGTAATATTAAAATGTCTACTTTCTATAATAATATAGTCTAGTCTACTCTAACGTATTATAATATATATTCTAAAGAGTATAAATTATAGAGTATATTCTATAGTATAGTTTAGAATTTAAATAATATAAATTAGTTTATTACTAGCTAAGTAATAACTAATAAAAGAATTTAGAATTATCTATTTTAATTATAGTCTACTCTTTAATTAATAATAATAACTTTATAGTAATTATAAAAGCTTTATACTTATAGACATCGTAATTAATATATATTACTATCTATTATTCGAGTTTAAGACTAAGCGATCTTAAATAAAGAATAATAGATTAGCTAAGAACGAAAAAGCTCGCTTAGCTATTAGCGAGTAAATATTATATTTAATATTAATATTTACTTTATAGTAGCTAAATCTACTTATTATAATAAATTTAACTCGTAAAAGTAATTATATATCTATATAGATCGTAAGATATATATTATTATTATATTTAGTTATTATAGAATTTTAATAAGAAGTAGATATTTTAATATTACGTCGAATTTATCGAATTTAAAAAAATTATATTTTCTAATAAACTACGTTTTCTAGTAATAATAAATACTATATTAAATCTATAGACGGCGACTATAGTATCGTAGTATTAATTATTATAATAAACTATAATAGTAAATTATTTAAATAAGTAATAGTAGTAGCTATAATAGTAATAGCTATCTATATTAGATTTATCGAATTTAAGATAATATAAATTAGAATATAACGCGAATAGAGATAGATATAATTAAGTTCGACTTAATACTTAAATATCTACTTCTTACTTAAATTCTATAATAACTTCGTATAATAAGAATAAAAAATTCTAATTCTTTCTTACTATTAAGGCTTCTATATCGAAGAATCTAATTTATCTTTTTTTAGATCTTATCGATCTACTATTTCGTAAAAATTATATCTCTTCTTCTTCTACTATCTTTTCTACTACTATCTATTCTTTTACTCTTTTATTTTATTATAGTTACTACGATAAAGTCTACGATAAAGTCTTCGAAATATTAAATACTACTTAGATATATATGTCGTTAAAATAAAAATAAACTATATTTAAATTTAAGATAGAGATATCTATAATATTAAATCTATAGACGACGATTATAATATCGTAGTATTAACTATTATAATAAACTATAATAGTAGACTATTTAAATAAGTAATAGTAATCGTTATAATAGTAGCCATTTAAGTTAAATTTATCGAATTTAAAAATTTCGCATTTTCTAGTATTTCGAGTTTTCTTATAAAACTAAGTATATTAAGATAGCTATTACGCGTATAGCCTCTATTTAATAAGCGTATAGCCTCTATCTACTAGACGTATAGTCTCTTTAATCGAGTTAGCGACCGCGCGTAAGCTAACGAATATTAATCGAAAATAATAAAGAACTTATATCTAGTCTCTTCGAGATTTTTATAGAGATACTTAATAATAGTAAAATAAGTCTTCTTATATCTCTTTCTATAGATCTATAATTTTAAATAATTTTAATTCGTCGATTAATAAGATCTTTAAATAATTTCTTTATAGCGATAGTTAATTAGCTAATTACTCTCTCTACTTATTATTAAAAATATATCTATTAAGACTATTATATTTAAATATTTACTATTTATTAACTAGCTAATCTTTTTAAATTTAAAATATATTAAATATAATCTTATTACTCTATATATAAATCTATATAATATTATCTCGCTATTCTTATATAGTATTATCTCGCTATTCTTATATAATATTATCTTATTATTAGTATACGAGTAAAGGCCTATGAATTAAATTCATAATCATTTTTTTTGATTAGGGCTGTCGAGTAAATTTTGATAAGCGATCTTTAATAAGCGATCTGTTAAGGAATAGTTCTTAATATCATAATATTGGTGTGGTGTAAAGTTGTTCTATTAATCTAAGTGGTCTGCAGGCACATATGTGCGGAGGGAGGCACGCTAAGGCCTGATTAGGAAGGTGTACCGAGTGTGGAGGATTGATCCGTAACAAGTGCCCACAAAAAACAGAGAAAGGCCATGTCCTCATGGCAAGAAGTAAACATGCATGAATGAGTGAGTTTTCGAAATGTTGGAAAGGAATGGAGACACCAGGCCAATTAGTGGTGTGAATCCCACAAGTTCTCCTGCCGCAGCGAAGCCCTTCGAATAGTACCGGAGCAAGACATCAGACGATTTCAATTCGTCCAAATATGCATCGTCCGATGTCCTCCTGCAGAGGCCCAATTGGCTGTGATCGACGCAGTAGATCCTTCTCTTGTGTGCTCATTGCAGTGATGTACCACAATGTGATATTGCCCAGGCATGTGGAGATAGCAGGCCAAATTGTAGTGTCGTTCTCCGCCTGCTGAGTGGTGATTTGACGTGGAACCGTGGAGAGCATATGACGTGGGATTGTGGAGAGCTGAGCCGTGTTCTTGCTGATGGTGGCCTTGTTGTCGCTTGCTTTCTCCGCAGTGTTCTCCGCAGTGTTCTCCGCAGTGTTCTCCGCATTTGCCTGTTGTAGTTCCTCCTCTTGCTCCTTCTCTTGCTCTTCCTCTTGTAGAGTATCAGACTGAGTGGCTAGCTGAGTGGCTGACTGAGTGGATGACTGAGTGACTGGCTGAGTGACTGGCTGAGTGGCTGGCTGAATGGCTGGCTGAGATTGAGGGTGTTCGACACTTGGAAGGATTTGACTTGGTTGCTGGCGAAACTCATTACGTAGTTGACCCATTTCAGTTCTTATTTCGGTTCTTATTTCAGTTCTGAATATGGCCATTTCAGTTCTTAGTATGCCTTGAAATAGAGCCATTATGCCCTGAAGCTGATCGTTCGAGATGCCGGGGATGAGTGGGCTGGAAGTAGACATAGTGATGGCCTATTGAAAGGTTCACCTGCTTGTGGTCTTGCGTGTAGTGACTCTGCGTGACGGGCTGAGTGCTGATAGGTGAGCGATGTGGGTGTTGAGGTAGGTAGAGGCGTAGCGTGACTGGCCAGCACTATAGATGAGCGAATAAATTCAATAGACTCCTGTTGAGTGATCTTCAGGTGTTGCTACCATTTGTTAAGGAATAGTTCTTAATATCATAATATTGGTGTGGTGTAAAGTTGTTCTATTAATCTAAGTGGTCTGCAGGCACATATGTGCGGAGGGAGGCACGCTAAGGCCTGATTAGGAAGGTGTACCGAGTGTGGAGGATTGATCCGTAACACGATCTTTGATGAGCGATATCTGAATCTCTTACCTTTAAATATCTATAAGACTAAATTTAGTAATTTTTTTTTATATGAAAGCCCACATTACGTTCTATAATTTAAATAAAAAATCTTAAAATTTTAATAGAAAATAAAAAGGTTATTCTAAAATCAAATAATGTGCACCTGTTTTTTTATCAGGGCTGTCGAGCGAACTTTGGTGAGCGATATCTGAATTCCTTGCCTTTAAATATTTATAAGACTAAATTTAGTAATTCTTTTTTTATATGAAAGCCCACATTACGTTCTATAGTTTAAGCAAAAAAAATTTTAATTTTAATAGAAAATTTTAAAATTATTCTAAAATCAAATAATGTGCACCTGTTTTTTGATCAGGGCTATCGAGCAAACTTTGGTGAGCGATATTTGAATTCCTTGCGCTTTAATAATGATAAGACCAAATTTTGAAATTTTTTCATTTCTGAAAAGCGTAAGTTTTGGGCTATAATTTGAAAAAAAAATCTTAAAGTTTTAATAGAAAATAGTAAAGTTATTAAAGGGTTAAAAGTAGGGGAAGAGATTTTTAATGGTTGTAAACGCTAATTTATTTACCCGCGGTGTCTAATCAAAAAGCGTAGACCTAACGAATTGATGATTGGCTGCACATACAAATTTAAGGTTTTCTAGTTTAGCCCTATCTTATTCTTTTATATTAGTACGAGTAAAGGCCTATAAATTAAATTCATAATCATTTTTTTGATCAGGGCTATCGAGTAAATAGGTGAGCGATCTTTGGTGAGCGAACTTTGATGAGCGATATTTGAATTCCTTACGCTTTAATAATTATAAGATTAAATTTAAGAATCTTTTTTTTTTCTCTAAAAGCCCATATTTCGTTCTATAATTTAAAAAAAAAAAACTCAAAATTTTAATAGAAAACAAAAAAGTTATTCGAAAATCAAATAATGTATATCTGTTTTTTGATCAGGGCTGTTCGGCTGTCGAGCGAACTTTGGTGAGCGATATTTGAATTCCTTGCGCTTTAATAATTATAAGACTAAATTTAAAAATTCCTTTTTTATCTGAAAGCCCACATTTCGTTCTATAACTTAAAAAAATAATCTTAAAATTTTAATAGAAAATAGTAAAGTTATTAAAGGGTTAAAAGTAGAGTAAGAGATTTTAATAGTTGCGAACGCTAATTTATTTACCCGCGGTAACTTAGCCGGTCTAGCCATAAGGCGTAATAACCCCGAATTTATAATTGGCTGTATATACAAATTTAAGGTTTTCTAGTTTAACTCTATCTTATTCTTTTATATATAAATTTAAGATTTTCTAGTTTAGCCCTACCTTATTCTTTTATATATACTATTTATCGCTCTATCTTATTCTTTTATTATATATAAAAGAATAAGATAGAGCTAAACTAGAAAATCTTGAATTTGTATGTGCAGCCAATTATAAATTCGGGTCCTCTACGCTTTTTGGCTAGACCGGCTGAGTCATCGCGGGTAAATAAATTAGCGTCCGCAACCATCAAAATCTCGCCCTCCCGCGCCTCCTCATCAAAAATTAGGTGTACGTTATTGACACATAAAATAACTTTTTTGTTTTCTATTAAAATTTTGAGATTTTTTCTTTAAATTATAGAACGAAATGTGGGCTTTTAGATAACAAAAGAATTTCTAAATTTAGTCTTTTAATTCTCAAAGCGCAAGGATTTCAAATATCGCTCACCAAAGTCCGCTCACCAAAGTTCGCTCGACAGCCGGACAGGACAGCCTTGATCAAAAAACAGGTATACATTATTTGATTTTAGAATAACTTTTTTGTTTTCTATTAAAATTTTGAGATTTTTTTTTAATTATGGAACGAAATGTAAGCTTTTAGAGAAAAAATAAATTATTAAATTTAGTCTAATAGATATTTAAAGGTAAGGAATTCAGATATCGCTTATTAAAGATCGCTTACTAAAATTTACTCGATAGCCCTAATCAAAAAAATGATTATGAATTTAATTCATAGGCCTTTACTCGTTCTTCTCTTATAGTCTATCTAATCTATTTATCTTATTACTCTTCTTATATAATATCTAATTATCGAAGTAATTACTATAGCGATTATAAATCTTCTTATTATAACGCTTATAGTATAGAGATAGATATAGATATATTATTATATATATAGAATAAGTATATTAAGTAAGATATTTATTTTAGTTATCGAGAGATAGATTTAGAGTTATTACTATTAAGTAAGAGATATAGATAAGCGATAGAGTAAATATTAATTCTATTATTATATTCTACTATAAAGATATTCGACTTAAAGAGACTAGATATAGATTCTTTATTATTTTCGATTAATATCTATTAGCTTTCGCGCGGTCGCTAACTTAATTAGAAGAGCTATACGTCTAGTAGATAGAGGCTATACGTCTATTAAATAGAGGCTATACGTTTAATAGATAAAGACTATACGCGTAATAGCTATCTATATTAATAAGTCTTAGAAAATTAAAAAAGTTATCGTAAGTATCTCTTATCGAAAATTAAAAATATTATCTTCTTAAATAACTTTATAATTATAACTTATTATAATCTAGAAATATTATAAATTATACTTATTATATTAATTAGTTAATTCTTAAATTTTTAGAAAATTCTAATTTAAATTTTTTAAATAAAATTATATAGTATAAAAATACGCTTAATATTAAAAAGTATCTCGATTATTTTATAAACGCTAAGACTATCTTATAGAAATTTATAAATTCTATAAGATTTTTATTTTATAGAATAACGAATTATTAAAATTCTCTATAAATTAAAAGCTTAAAGATTTAATATCTTTTTAATAAATTATAAAATTTCTAGAGTATTATAAATTATCGATATAAAGTTATTTAAGAAATTTTAATTTTCGAATTTTCGAGAGAGAAATACTTATAATAACTTTTTAATTTTCTAGAACTTATTAATATAGAGATATAGAAAATTTCGAGTTCGAGTAATACTAGAATCGATTAAAATAAATAACGAATTTCGCGTTTCGTATATAAATCGAGATATTTTATATAGTAATTTCAACTATAATTAAAAAAATTATATATGTAAGATTTCTTATATAAATTAATATATATAAAAGAATAATATAAAGCTAAGTTAGAAAATCTTAAATTTATATATATAGTTAATTATAAATTCGAGTTCGCTATACTTTTTAATTAGATATCGCGAGTAAATTTCGTAATTATTAAAATCTCTTTTTCTACTTTTAATCTTTTAAAAACTTTACTATTTTCTATTAAAATTTAATAATTTAATTTTTAAATTATAGATTATAATTTACGCTTTTTGTTACGGATATAGTGTGCTTTAGAGAATTCTTGCTGTTCAGGCAGGGGTCCACGCTCTTTTGGCGCTTTGGCGCAACGATTAGCGATAAAGCACGCTTTTCCGTGACAAATGGTAGCAACACCGGTTCGATTCCGGGTGTGACCCGGACAGTCTAAATAGGTTACTTGGCCCGCATAGTGTATTAACAGCACGCCAGGCTCATAACCTAGAGGAGGAGTGTTCGAATCCCCTGCGGAGCACCAGGCCACAAGTAGCTTACGGGGTCATACCCGGGGGGTTCCTATATACGATACCTATGCGTGTAAGCCAGCGCATGGGGACATACGCCATTTTTCGAAGTGTGCAATTGTTACGGATATAGTGTGCTTTAGAGGATTCTTGCTGTTCAGGCAGGGGTCCACGCTCTTTTGACGCTTTGGCGCAACGGTTAGCGATAAGGCACGCTTTTCCGTGACACTTTTCAAGTTTAAAAAATCTAAAAATTAAATTTAATAATTCTTTAAAGATAAGAAATTTAAATATTACTTATTAAAGATTATTTATTAAATTTACTCGATAGATCCAATTAAAAAAATAGATTATAAATTTAATTTATAGATTTAAACTCGTTAATTTATATTTAAATATTAATTTTATCTATTTATAATCTTATTTAAAAACTCGTTTAATTATATAATAGATTAAGATAGCTATTACGCGTATAGCCTCTAATTAATAAACGTATATATTCTTTATACTTAAATTATATCTTTAAAATTTAATCGTTAATTCTCGATAGAGCTAGTTTATTTAAATTTTAGCGTATCGTAAGAGCGAAGAAGCGAGTATATATAGAAGGGGTCTCTCGAAGAAAGAGAGAATTCTATTTACTCGTAATCGCTCTATAGATAATAAGACTATTAGCTTTAAAGCTCTTAAGACTACGTATATCTAATATAAAGAAAAGATTATATATCTAATAGATAGAGACTTACGCGGGTAAAAAAAAGTTTATATACTTTCAAAATCTATAAATCTAATATAATTTACTAATGAAAGATTTTATTAAGAAGATTTTACTCTAGAATATATAGATATTAATATAAATAATAACTCTTATAATAAATACTAGCTTATAAAGAGAATATTAAAAATATTATTTTAATTAATAAAGATAGAAGAATTACTTAGCGTATATAGACTTTTTTTTTTACTCGCGTAAGACTATACGCGTAGTAGCTGTTTAGATTTAAAATAGAGAGCGCGTTAGGCTAAAGTAGTTTTTACGCGTCAAATTTAACGATTTTCGCGTTTTTTTCTCTTAATCTTACTTTAGTATTATATAGATAGCGTAAATATAATTTAAATATATAGAGTTCGCGTATAAAATTATATAACTTATTAATAGCTATTATATATATAAAAAATTAAATAGATTTATTATCTAAGTAATCGCATAGCGTAAGCTATAAACATCGAGTTTTGGTGAGAAACCCGAAATCCGTCACTTGGTTTGACCACTTCGAGTACGGTTGTTCTTCACTCTCGCTACCCGCATTTCGGTTAATCTGACGGTTCTAACCTGTGGGCTTTGAGGGTTACTTCTTCAGCCTTCCCATCGTTCTATTGTTCGCATGATGCTATTTCGCCTCACAGTCAGAGAAACGCTTCTGATGGGTTGATGATGATATTGTCTACTCATGAGATTAACATTAACTTGAGAACTTCGCGCCCAGCACTGCGAGGGTGTCCTTGCACACTCTTTGAACGCGTCGACAAAAGGGGGTGTTAAAACGAAGAGTCCCCCCCACCATAGCATCACATCAATTTACCAAATCTGTTGTTTCGGGAAATTTCCTTTCTGTGATAAGTAAGAGCCTCACATTTAATCTAAGGGTCCGCTTTCTTTCCTAGACGGTGTACAAGCGTGAGGAAAGAGATGACTGATTTGCATTAGTGTTGGAAGCATCGTAGTACCATATGGCTCCTGCTGCTAGAATTCAATAGGCCACGCATATCGAATCACCATTCTCAGCATGGCGAGAGCAATTAATCACGAAATTCTGTTGGCTCGAAATGTTCAAAGCCTGTCCTTCTTTCCGTGAGTTTAAAGGAATTGCTTTCTCCAAATAGAAAATTTTCTCTGCCATGTCAAGCTGTATCACAGACTAGAGCCTTCTTGCTCACACACCGAATTCATGATAGACTGCTAAGGGCCTACGGACTGGCTTATGTCTCTACTACCGCACCCAGACTGCTGAAACTCCTCCTTCTTTACAGAAAGAAGTCGGCAAGGGGCAACATTTTCGCATCAGTAAGTGCGGTTCCTTAATTCGCATATCTTGTAGTCCCCAAAATACCTTACCCATTGCACGGCGAATACTTTGCTGTGACATTGTTAACGCCAGTACCAACCATACAAAAAGACCTGCTGATCCAGGCTTTTTGCAACAGATATACTCCGTTCTGGCAGGATCTTTTGCTGTTCGTAGATTTCCCACCTTCTGTGCCGCGCTGGTAGGTGGTTACACCTTCCTACAATGGCTTCTACGCCTACTGTTTGACTATGCGTCTATCCCTAGCATGGGCAGAAAGGTACCATCGAAACGCTTGCGCAATGCGAGCCATGCGGCATCTCGGTTCTTGGCTGCGGTGATCTCGGCTTGGTTCAGCTTGGACATATTGAACTACAAGGCCATCGCCAAGGTTGACCGAAAGAAGTCAAAACAAGCTGCACAAGATCAGCAACGACATGTCGTCAACGATACAGGTCCCACATTGCAAACTGCCAAGATCATCGACTCGAAGATTTCTCAGGCTTCTCCGCCTGTTTTGGCAGGCAAGACCGTAGATCTCACTCTTTTAACCGTCACCCGCGCCCTTGATAGTCTAGTCGTCAATCTTTGTCGTCGCTCTCATCCATCACTTGCTAACACAGCATCCGCCTCGTCAACCTTGACAGCCATCTCTCGATATGCAGACACTTTCGTCTTCGCCCTAAGTTCCGGCACAGTGGTATGTCAACATTTCATAGCACTTTCTTTCTGATCTATGCCCCAATTTGAATTCTGAATTCTTTTTCGAAAGCAACGTACTCGTCGACCTCGTCCCCTAATTCATTCTCCACCTCAAAGAAGTAATGCTGACTTGATAAACTTGAAGATGTGGGCCTGGTTCTACCTTCCCGATCGCCTGCCCCGAGCTTACAATAAGTGGATTGGTGAAGCCGCACAGGTTGATCACCGCCTCATTGACGTCCTACGCAAAGCCCATGCAGGAGAATTCATTTACGGTGAAGACACTGGTCAGGCTCATATACTACAAGGTATGTGTAGCGACTATGGCTGGCCTCTGGCCTGGGGCGATCCCGTCAAGACGACTCCTATTCCTTGCGAAATTGTGCACATGGGTACCGGCCCATCTTGTCACTGGCACGCTGCTGTGCGGTTTTCGCGGGCGTTCCAGTTCGCATTGGCGACGAACCTGCCGCTCCAGCTATTAGTCAAAGCGAGGAACCCGTCTTTTAGAGCATTTAGAAGGGCGTGTGAAGAAGCCGTGCGGTCTTCAGCATTTTTGGGTGCGTTTGTCGGTCTCTTCTATTATGGCGTGTGTTTATCACGCACTCGACTTGGACCTAGGATCTTCAGCCGAGAGACGATCACTCCTATGATGTGGGACTCAGGCCTCTGTGTCGGAACTGGGTGTGTGCTATGCGGATGGTCCACCTTGATCGAAGCCGAAAAGCGGAGGATGGAATTAGCCTTATTTGTCGCACCCAGGGCGTTGGCTACGCTTTTCCCAAGAGACTATAATGCTAATGTCGGTCTTCCTTTGGCTCGAGACATACTGGACAGAAGCTGACGAAATGCAGCACTTTTGGAAAGAGAAGGCGGCATTCTCTCTAAGCACGGCTGTGCTCTTCACCTTGGCTCATGAAGATTCTAGTAGGGTCAGAGGGGTTTTAGGTCGACTGATTCATTTAGTACTACAGTAACTCCTGTCTACGTAGATGACAAAAAATCAGCGGAATAACCATCTGATTCTGCGGTTTTCTGATGAAATGATGGCTTTGGGTGTTCAATGCTTGGTTCTCAAAAGGAGGACCCAGAAGCCTGTTGATCGAAAAGTTTCACCTGAATTTGCTATTTCTGCCAATGCGTCATGATGCTTCGATTGAAGAAGGATCCAAGACTCGTGGTCAACACCTGCTAATCATTAATAATGCGGAGACGAAAAGGAGAATATACCATTCCTGCCACGCATGCGAGCTGTGATCTCCATTTAAAGGTAATGCTGCATCAAGACAGTGCAATAGCAATGACTTTATTGGCAAAAGGAACGGCAATGCTTGCGAAGCCCTTTGAGTATAGCAGGACGCTATCATCTCTCATGAATCGACAAGGCGTAGCTCTTCGCAGATTGACTAATTGGCACGCCATTGAAAGCGTTCGTGACAACTTAAGTTTTTGCGTTGCTGCTAACGGTGCCTAGCCTGCAAATTGAAGGCCAACACTCTAATAGATTGATCTTCTCCAAACCTTTGCAACGAGCAACATTGATTGGCAGATCAATAGAGATCATCTACAGTGTAAGCTGCTGCAGTCTTGCAAGTAGCCTCTGGAGCTCGTAGACAATGCGTTTTTAGCTAGAAGACATACTATCTGTAAGGTCTTGCTTCGATAGGTTTCGACCCAAACCAGCCGAACCCGGTGTTCAAGAGCTAGGAGCGTGGCTGTTCCGATCTGCAGCCTCATCATCGTCATCATCACCATCAGCTGCAACATCCATGACCTTTTCCCCAGCTTTTTCCAAAGTTCGGCGACTCCATGCGCGGACACCTTTGTAAACAGCCTGTATACGGCATCAGCTTCGTACACAATAACCAGCAGATACACAACAAATACCCAAAGAAATGTGGCAATGCCGATTATGACCACCACCCAGCTAATGCTTGCCAGGCGATCCCGCCCAGTATTACCAGAACGGCCGCCACCATTCATGATTCCAGATGTTCTGATATTCCACCATTGCCATGGCGATAGGGCGAAGAGTACCTTCACGAAGCCAAGCAATCCTAGCGATGCGAGTCCTTTAATGAAGTGCTCTGTCCAGCTTGTGACGTCGTCGTCAGTAAGCATTGGTTCAAGGCGGGCTCCGACTTTTGAAAAAGGCGCAGATGAGACGACTGAATATGGATCGACATAGAGATTGATAATGGGATCAGCAACGAATCCCATAACGAACAAAGCCATGAAGAAAATGAAGCCAGTCAGAGTTATTTGTGTAGCAGTGCTACTGATCCATCTGCCCCATTGCATTCTTTCTAGGCGATAGCGGAACCCGCAAGTCGGGCATTGCCAGTAGTTCCTCTTGCCGTATTCAGGATCCGCATGTCGCCACGCTTGGAGACAACCTTCATGGACGTATTTCGACGATCCTTTACACTTGCAAGGCCGCAGAAGTCGACCGGCTTCAGGATCAGGAGATTCATATGTAACTGATGGTAATGACTGAAACATCTCCGGGACACTCTCGGAAGGCGGATGGAAAGTTGGCTCAACGGTTTCGAAACATATTCGACATGTTCTAGGAGGCCAATGTTTCCTAGGCCTTGGAGTAGTGTTTGATGTTGGCTTTGGCGACTGATTGGAATTTGGGGCAGATGGCGGCTCTTCATGGAAAGCACCAGGCATGGATGAGCTGCCTCGAGAAGCTTGAGGCGCAAGAGTTGAATGGGAGTTTTGCGACCAATGCCATTCTGGATTTGGGTTGAAACCTGTGGAGGTCATGATGCCTTCATGAGGCAGCACGAAGATTAAGAGGAGTGACCTGCTATCCTACATCTAAATTCTTCTGGTTTGTAGAAAAGGATTGTATCCATACGAGCCTGAGAGGAGACATGACCAGGGCAAATGATAGAAATGATAATAAGGCCACGTCTCTGCCTGTCCTTCGAATGATTACCTAGTCGGCTTGAACCCATGGCTAAACTTCGGCGTGTGTATGCTACCGACGCGTAGTGCAACTCTACCTATGCCCTGTATCAACTCTCACGTATTTCCCTCCAACAACGGTGTGTGAAGGCGACCTTACTCCAACCTTGACTCTGTCTAGACATCTGTATTTCTCCATAGCTTGACGAGGTGCGTTGTCTGTTGCTGTCCTCATCAGAACATCAAGTCAGCCGCTATGGCGGACCGATACTCCTTCTCCCTCACCACCTTCTCTCCGAGGCAAGATCTGTTCCCTCCCTCCATCGCATGGTCATTTACTAATATATACGCAGTGGAAAGCTTGTGCAAATAGGTAGAATCTCCTCATCTCTCGCCGCTGCTGCAAGCTCCACTAACGGCAGCTTAGAATATGCCCTCAATGCTGTTAACCAAGGAGTTACATCTCTGGGTATAAAAGGTACTTGGACTAAATCATTTGTCGGTCGGTTGCATTATGCTCATATCTGACGAAGCTACGAATGGTATCGTCCTCGCCACTGAAAAGAAATCGTCCTCGCCGCTCATCGACCCTCCTTCGCTCTCTAAGGTCTCTCTTATCACCCCCAATATTGGCATGGTCTACAGCGGCATGGGTCCTGATTACCGCGTTCTCGTCGACAAAGCCCGTAAAGTCTCTCACACAGGCTACAAGCGAATCTACAATGAGTATCCACCAACCCGAATTCTCGTCCAGGATGTTGCTAGAGTGATGCAAGAAGCAACGCAAAGTGGTGGTGTAAGACCTTACGGTGTCAGTCTATTGATAGCAGGGTGGGACGATGGGGTGGAGCCCGAGACGCAGGAGCTCGCAGACGAAGGACTAGAAACGGATGCCGAGAAGAAGAAGGCGAGTGGGAAGACCGGAGGGATTTTAAAGGGCGGTCCGAGCCTTTATCAGGTGGATCCCAGTGGCAGCTGTAAGCGTTTCTCCCAGCCCTTGACTTCCTTATTCACGCCGTATTCGCAGTCATGGGACATATTTACTCCCGGAATGGTTTCATGGCTTGATACTTATCTCGAAGGGGAATGCTAAGCTTGAGAACCTTTAGACTTTCCTTGGAAAGCCACCGCCATTGGCAAAAGTGCAACTAGCGCGAAGACCTTTCTTGAGAAGAGATATAAGGAGGACTTGGAGCTGGAAGATGCGGTGCATATTGCACTGTTGACGTTGAAGGAAACAATTGAGGGCGAAATGAACGGAGAGACTGTCGAAATTGGTATTAACAGCGGCCCGCAGGAACTTGCACGTAAGGCTGATGAGTATGATACAGGTATCGTCGGAGCACCTGCGAATGAGCTACTCGGGTATGAAGGTGTCGAAGGAGCAGTCGGACCTAGATTTCGGAAACTGAGCAAAGAGGTACGCACTTCCGGAGGCATCATTCTATGTGCAATGGAATCAAGACATGGTTTGGGAGCAAAATACTTCTATTTGCTCCCAATATTTGTCTTGCATTGTAGAAAATTTCGAGAAGGAGTGATGCTAATCCTCGCAATTCGAGCAGGAGATAGAAGATTATCTTACAAATCTGTGATGGACGAATAATAGACTTCTCTTGCCCGAAGCACTTCGCATTTGTATGGAGCAATCGGAGCAAAGAAATGCATATTATTACCTATCGATAGCAAACGTCTGTTTTTGAGCCAGGTAAGCCACGTTTTCGTGGGTGCGAGCCTTCTCAGAAGTCTGCTTTGACTGGCGATGAAGCTCCAAATCGTCTCAAGATCAAAGGAGATCACAACGATGGGACAGACACTGTTGGCGATCTTCTCTCTGCCCGAGGATCAACCGCCATAAGCCCCTTTCGCACGTTCCAAGTCGCCTGACTTGTAGGGCAACGACCGCTAGATGTGTGTCGTTTCTACATGTCTCTCGAGCATCATTCGAATTTGTGCATGGGCATGTTGCCTTGAATTCGACATTGTCCTACTCAGTAGCATCAAAGTTCAAACTAGATGTCTGTCGTTTCTGTATGTCTCTCGAGTATTATGGGGACTGCATATGGAATGTTGCCCTGATTCGACCATTTTCCAACGTGAAAGCATCAGGGTTTAGGCCTATTATTCTCTTGCTCCCTTGGCATTCAACCTTCGCCGTATGGTCTAGTCAGTATAAAAGAAGTGAAGACTAGACGAACTAGAAGGGTTTTGAGAACTTTTTCTTCTCCAAACATCACTCTTAACATTCGTCAGCGGTCATTATTTCATCACTGTCGTACTCTGCCCCTCCTGTTATTTGACCCTCCTTGACTTCATCCTCGTCCTCACTCAATGTCTCGTCATTCCCCCCCTGTCCGTCCGCCCTTGTTACTTTGACAACTTCTTTACAGCCTCCGTGACCCGAACTTGACCTCTCCCTTCTCAGAATATTACATGCTTCATCCGCCGCCCTCGTTTGCACTTCCATGGTGCTAAAACCATCCCCAATCCTTAAAATCGACCTCTCTCCCACAATGACGGTACAAGTCAGACGCTCCTCGCCCTCTTCACCTTCCTTTCCGAGAACATATCTGACCTTGTCTTGGTCGGCCAATTGGCCCAGCTCCTCTTTTGGATGCAGTATTGCTATCTCGTTGTCCAAGACTCGGCGCAGGTAGGGCATCAGCCCGAGGTGCTCGAGGAAACTTTCACATTCAGACAAAGATCCGTGGGTGTCGATGTATATGGCACCCAAAATTGATTCAACGATATCTGAGAAGAATTTGGGCGGTTGCAGCCGCGCAAGAGCGGTCCAGGGATAATGGTTTCCATGAGCTAGAGAACTTGATATAATCGTGTGGAAGAGCTTGTAGCGCGTAAGGCAATCTTGTTGCGCGAGACCAACAGACGGCGAGGCATGACGCATTGACTGCCATAGGTAGAAGGGGCGGGACACACCTGTGGTGGAGATTGACTGTGATACGTTGCCGAGAACCTCAAAGCGACTAATGGAGGTCGAAAGAGTGAGGCAAAGAAACCCAAGGAAGTTAGAATTGACCAAAGCAGCGCGGATAAGATGCAATTTGTGCGTCGGGAGAGGGGGGTTGCGGGCAAATGCAGTCGTGGTGACGATGATGTCAAGTATGGCGTCTCCGCAATATTCCAGTCGCTGGTATGATGAGCTGGTGTTGGGTCCATAGTGGGAAGGATGGGTGAGGGCTTCGACAACGAGAGCTTTGAGGCTAAAGTCATGCGAGATCACCTTTTCGGCTTCGACGACATGATTGGATACCGGAACCTGAAGCTTGTATACCCCATACAGTATCTGGCTCGCCCGCAAAGCTGTGGACCACGGTACTTCTGGCAGAAAAACCTCCAGACAAGCGGCTGCCTTTTGTGACCCCCCATCAAGATATGAAGCGCCTATCAGGGCCTCTACAACATCCGCAAGTGTCTTGGTAGACATCTCACGAGTGCGCTCGAGCTGGTTCGCAGCTAATCTACCATTGTATAGCGGCCGCCACTTTTGGCCAGTGAATGGTTTCGTGATGATGAATCGGTCCAATCCCGTCCGCATGGCTGCTGTGGCAAGCGAGCTGTTGGACACTATGTGGTCTTTCTTATGCGAAACTGGATCGTAAATTCAGAGTCAGTATTGCCAATTTGGAGGGGTACATTGAGCCTTGAAATATGTCTATAGGTCGGACACTCCCAAGACATGTCTCAAGACTCAATCTGATCCAAGGGAGGAAATATAGACGCCGAAAATACGTACGGATACCTTCATGGTAGTTTAGATGTTCTGCCATTAGGGTCAGTGAGGTCATATACTTCAGGACGCTGTCACCAAGCGTCTCAAGGCGCTGATAGTCCGTAGCTTCATGTGCCGAGGAAGCGCTGATCGCTGTGGTCACAAGGCTTCGATCTTGAAATTGTAGCGGGGAAAGGACCGTGTTGCAAAGGCGTTCCACAATCATGGCTACTTGGACCTTGTGAAGAATGGATGGAACAAACATCGCAAAACGGGAGTAGCTGAAGGGTAACCTGCCCACCTCACATTCGTTCGCAGGCAGCCGCTGGAGTCCAGACTGTTTGGCAAAACTTGCATTACCGCTGGGGACCGGATGCAGAAAGTCGGCTCTCTTCGGCAATCTTTTCACCTCCAAATAAACACAATGGCTGGAATCAGCTCGATCGAGCTGCGTGCTGCCATCATGCACGCATTCAGAGGGTTGGCACTGCGTCTTTTCCAACAAGCAAGGCTCGGTATTCTTATTCTGAAGAGCTTTGGTGGTGTCGTCAGGGAGTGTGTCTTCCAAAGATGGATATATAACGTCTTGAAAGATATGCAATGTTCCGTTGTGGCTAAGATCTCTGATAAGGCCAACATCTCTGCCAACGTCCTGATCGCAAAGATGTTCAGCTTTTAATGCCCCTGAATGAGATAACAGCCACGTTAGACGGTCCATACCATTTGAAGGCATGAAAAGGGCCGTGAAGTCGTAACGGCCATAGTCCACCCTCCCTCTGAAAACAGATTCCAGCAAAAGAAACGTAATCTGGGCAGCCGAAGCTGTGACCGCTGGGGAAAGGATCGTTGATTCAGGCTCAATGACCAATTGGAACGTGGTGTTTTGGTCCCAATATAAGTCGGTTGTACCGGCAATCACTGGGGTTCTGACTGGCAGTAGCATTATCATATCGGTTCTGACCTGGCTTTGTCCCGCGATTTTGACGAGGGATCCGTAAATATGGGCTGAATCGTTCCAACACTGTGCAACAGAAGGCCATACGTCAATCTGGTCGGAAACTTTTACAATACTTGGACGCTTCTCAACAGCGCCATACGCTTCATCTACTGCTTCATCCACATGTCCTAATGGTAGGAGGTTATCGTTCACAAGACCTGCATGGTGCAAAGCTTTGTAAGCCTCAAAGGCCGCATCCTTTCGGGCCATCTTTTCAGTGATCCACGTGGATTTGCTGCAAGCGCTGCGAACAGAGGCATCGACCGAATTTGGCAGCAATACTTTCGCCGAGATTGATTTTCCATCGCCACCAGAGGAATGTTCTTCAAACGTGAATATTGGATTAGGATCCACATATGGCGCTGCTGGCAGAACAGCGCAGAAGTGATAGAGGTGCTGAACAGCGTCGTCTAGGGTGAGCCTGGCCCTATGTTGCACCATTGCATCAGTAAAGGCCATGCCTGCGAGTAGTTTCTTCGGCTGCTTACCCACTTGATTGAACCAAAAAAATTCGATCGGCCGTCTCTTCTACAGATTCTAGCCTTTGAATCTTTTGGAAAAGTCGCAATTCATCCATGTACGTCCTTCTCATCTCGTCTTCAAGCTCAAGCCAGGTCGACACGGCCCTATTTTGGAGGCCGTCATCCTCGAACATGATGATATACTTGGACGCTGCCCTCCTTGCGCGACCCCTTCGCTGGATGAAAGACTTCAAGTTTGGAGGTTTGTTAAAACAAATGACTACGTTGCAGGCCGATACATCGATACCCTCTTCTAGGGCGTTAGTAGTGACAATCAGGTTCTTCCTGCCAAAACGGAGATCATCCAAGGTTCCTTTCTGGTTTTTGAGGTCCACCAAGTCGCCAACTGTATTTCGACGGCCAGAGAAACCAGACTCCCCTACGAATGTTGCGACTTTGAACCACGGGGCTTGTATTGAAAGTATATGGGACAACACAGCCACTTCCGCCCTTGTGCGCACAAAGATGAGGCCCGAGAATGTTGTAGAGTCCATGTTCCACAGACATTGAATCAGACTCCGCACTTTAGGTGTGATATGATGGCTTTCCAACGGGCAACCGTCTGGTTCGAAGACCACAACTTCGGCAAATTTCCTCCGTAAATATATCTTCTCGCGGTCTTCCAGGCCTTCTATGACGGAGCCTTCACCCGCTCCCCGTCGCAATTTGGCGACACATTGTCGTATATAGTATTCGGTGGCGAATGACCCAAGTTCGTGATGAACGGCTAGTGCTTTGTCGTACAGACCCTTTATCTGATCGTGGCAGTATCTGGGTCAATGTCAGCAAAAAGTTCGGCTCACCAGGTACCCCGAAAACTTTGAGGATGCTTGTCCTTACGTCTTGTTGCTTATCAAAGCTTTGTTAAGAGCTTTAGCGTTGCAAGTGCTTGGATCAGACTTCATCTTAATGATCCAAGGGTCTTGCTCAATATCAAGGCCTTCATAAACTTTTCTTAGGCTCTCTAAAGCTTGAGGAGCTATGAATTGTGGACCATTGGGTAAATACACGAGCTTGATCAGTTCAGGTTGATGCACAAATTGAAGCATCTCGTCACGATGAATCTTTGGGGTCCGGGAAATTGCGTTTAGGTTGGACTCAAGTAACCTACGCCTACGTTAGCAATGTCCGGACATTTACACTGGGATGGGTAGACAAAGGACTTTTCGCAGAGCACAGAGAGTTAAACTGAAATGTTTTACTCACCCAAGATTTCCAGCCTTACTATTGACAACCGGACTGGCAGAAAGGCCAAGTATCGAAGGTCGGGCTTCAGCCGGGGATGCATGGTAGAAGTCCCGCAGTATCCTGCTTGATGGGTGATTGCCCGTGCAAGAATGTGCTAAGGGTAGCTATATTAACGTTGGGTAAATGGACAGGGATGACGCTAGAACTCGCGCACCTTCGTCGAATACTAACAACGCTAATTGGTTCATTTGTACAAAACCATGGAGGAGTGCATCCAAGAGCACCTGCAATGTCAGCACCAAGAGCTGAAAGCCTTCACAGCAAACATCTGGATTACCTGATGTGTGGAAATGACGATATCGATGCCCTTGAGTACATCATCCCATATACACTGTTCAGTCCAGAACTCAACATTGTCGGCTCCTGAAAGCACCCTTGCCTGAAATGCAGGTAGCTGGGTCGATAAAGCGTCATGTTGCTGGATGGCCAAGACAACCGTTGGAACGCAAAACCAGACCAACTACGAAGAACATCAGAGGGTCAACACGTCAAAAACGCCGCTCCCAAAGAGCCAGGTCGCATACTTTACCGGATGGACATCGTTCTAGCTCGGCTTGTATACGCAGAATCGCTCTAGAAGCGGGTCAGATCATGATAATGCCAAAGCGTAGATTTGTTACACAAATGTCTTTCCTGATCCAGTGTCCATCTATATGTGTTAGCAGTTGAAGTAACTGGGACCGAGAATGTCGCACAGCAACAATGATGTTTCTCCGCATGCTCTCCTCGAGCATCTCGAGCTGATAAGACCGTGGCTGGAAGGCTCTGTCTAGCCCTGAAACTCCATTGTGCACGGTGGGCTCCTCATGAACGACGACGTTTCTGCCTGACAGCTCGACCGTTGACAACAGGTTCGGAGAAGACATTTTCACTATTCAAGTACACAGAAAAAGCCTCATTTCATCCCAGGGGGTTGTGCCCAGGTGTCAGAAGTAGGATGATGAAAGTGTTTGTCATGATATAGTCACGTGGTTGCAGGGTCGTTTTGATAGGGTGGATATGCGACGTGGATCTTTTGTTACTTTATGTTCCTCTTTGCTACCCAAAAACTCCTGGGTGAACAAAAGACTTTTCCGTACATAATCCACCACCTTTTCAAGCCGACAAAAGTACTCAGCTCATACTTATTTTGTTATCATTCGTACAGTTTAGCCTCCAGTCATCTTATATCTGACCTCGACCAACTACATCATATAATTCTTGAAGAGCCTTGAATCGGTGAGATTTGTGTCTAGATTTGAAAGAGACCTGAGAGGGTGGGTAGTAGTATGTAGATTCTAAGAAGCCTCCTGCAGGAAAGTAACCCCCACCGCCAAGCACCTGATCTACATAGGGGCTGCCTAGCCAACATAACTAGTGGGCCTTAGCCACAGTAAGGTAAGGTAGATACCTTACTTTAGGTATTTGGCTCTGCCCCCGTTCTCACATAGCCAGCGTGCCAGTCATCCTTCTACCTCTGGATGTACCTCATTGGTTCCTCTTATTTCTCACGGCTTCCGGGGTGCCGGGCAAGCTGCCAGAAAAGTGGCAGTCTTTAAGCGCAGGACCTCTCAACTGTGACAGAGACTGTGGGTGTCAAGTCGAATACAAAGCCTTCGGCCATAGGGCGTTTACTCCTCGTGATTATGAGTCTCGATGTTTTTGGCGCTCGTACCGCAACAACTGCGACTTTCCTGGCCGCACGCCAGCTTCTCCAGCAGTCCCACTCCGTCAAAGAAAAGCTGATTGGAGTACCTGCAAGCGAAGAGATTGTGGGGTGCTGGTGGAGTTCTAATGAGAAAGCGAAGAATGTAGGGTCTACAGTCGTGAAGTGTACTAAGTGAAGACGTATGAATCGAGTCCTTTCTTGTATGCTTAACATACCAGCCGGTCATTCAAGGATCATCCAGTTCATGTCCAGTGGGCTTCGGAATCCTGTGACTGTTCAAAGGCGATTTCTGGTCTTTGCAAGCTCCGTGAATCAAGGCAACCACTTTACAGCGCGATTTATAACAGCTGCCACGATCCTCAAGCCAAAGAATCCGGCAAGCGCAAACATGATGCATCCAATCCCCAATGCTTGCAGGTTCCGCCGCTCTATCCCAGCCTTCTTTATGCCAGGCTCTAGGGCATCCTCCATCTGCGTCTTCTTCGAGAGATTCGGTATGTACTTGAAGTCGAACGTCGTCTCTTCCCCCAGACCGCTTTTGTTCTTGATAATGACTTGCCAGAATACCCTGCGTAGCGCCTGGTCGCCTTTTTCAGCAAGCGTACAACGTTTGCACAAGGTTCTTACTTACCGCAATCTTCCGTCGGTCAAGGTATGGTACAGATCTGTATGTGTAGCAGATGGCCATAAAAAAAAGGCACTGCCCAACTGCCAAGGCCCAGTAGTAAATGCTTGGTCTGCCGATACCGAGTGCATCACTTAATTCGCCGCCGTTCAGCCATCGACTGTTGACTTGAAGGAACGCCTCTGAAGCAAAACCGGGAGGTTGGCCCGCCAGTGATTTGATGATATTATTTGCCAAGACCTTCGAAGTTTCCGTGGGCTTTATCTCGTATAGAAAGAGGACCTCCATGATGCGCTTCGCCTTCTCTGGCGTCTCAAAATGCTCAGTTGGAGTGCCCGTCAAATAGGCTATATAGCGCCACAAAGCGACGTAGTCGGTGACCTCACGCTGCGTCATGAAAATGCCCTGCCTTGGTAGGCTGATCCAGATGAGCGTAGCACAAAAGGTACCTATGGTTCCTATGCAGTCTAGATCGTTGATTGGTATTCCCCACGCGTTGATATCATAGTACTCTGGCCGTTGTCGGGCGAGTTTCATGATTCTTTGGCGTACAGCCGCATGGAGTAAGCGAACTCGTACCGAAGAGGCATGGCCAGCGCCACCAGGTTGGATGGATTCCAGCGATCGGGTACACTGAAGTAAATGCTGTGTGGTTTCACTGCGATTATCAGTGACAGCGAAACCTGGAAGGAGACCACAGGTACGCACAATAACCGGTGCCTTGCCACTTTGGTGGAAAACCCGCCTGGTAAAAAGTATTAAATCACCGGAAATTATGGAGACATATCTGGGCAAACCTGTTCGCGCTAGTGTCTCTACGACTCTCGCCGCCCCCTGGAGATCCAGTTCAGCTAGTTCCCATCAACTCAAACGATCAAATAACTTTACCATGCCCCCAAGCAAAGACTGGAATGCGAGGCCAGTTAGAACAGGGCCGCCGTATCTATAGAAACAGTCTTGTCCTCGAGCAATCTGATCCCAACATACCCAGGAAGGAACCGTATTGACTTCGACCCACAACTGACCCAGAGCTTCATCATTAAAGGCATTTTGCCGTAACAGAGCGTAAAGATCTCTTTTACCTTCCGGAGCCTGTTCACCAGTGCCGTGGGAGTTGAACGCAGGTTTGGCCTCGTTTCTGACCAAACTGCGAGGAAGACCTGAGCTTGGCGGTGGAGATATCCTGTCCAATTTCTCCAAAGCCTTCTCTCCTAACATGTCGTAGGATTGCTTCATAGAATCCATTTGGTCCGGATTCAAATGATGCTCTGTCAACTGAAAAGTATATCCAAACGCAGATCGTGTGTGAGCATCCGGTCTTCGAAATGGGTTTGCCCAAGACATTTTGAGTCTTCATGGGCAAGAACAATAGAGTGGAGTCAAGTCAATCTGACGAAAGCATGGAGGTTGGTGGAATAAAATTTAGAAAAAGAAGAATGGAGTCGTCATTATTTCAATGTCTAGATTTATTAAGCCAGGCAACGAACCAACCCTACGTGAATTTCTCATGCATGAATAGAGTCGGCATTATTATTATTAGTATGCTCAGAATTACATAGCGATTGCTGAAGAGGAGTCGGTGAGATGAAGATGAGCACCTATTTCAGAGTACAGTGTTGGCGCTTGGCAAGCTGTCAAAAGACTTGGCGGTCTGAGGGGCCGCAACCCTTTGGTTTTTATCAAATGATCTGATTAGGATCACCACATTGATTCGGGAATAAGGAACACAGAGCCTTTTCATCGGTTACACTCACAGTGGCGGCAATTTACTATGCCAGAGGAATCAATTGCTGGAGCTCGCTTCTTCTGACTTCCTTTGGATATCGAGCCCCAGAATACGTGGCCAGTATCAGCAAGCACCGCTCGGACGACGAGCCAAGGGAAGAGCAAACAAGGCAAGTTCCTCCTGGGTTGCTTAGGAAAACAGCCTTACCACTAATAACGCATACCCTATGTCGAATTTGAACTTCAGTAACGTTGCCGCAAAATATATTGCCTAAGCTCAAATCCATAGTTGCGGGCGAAGCAGTCATTCCGCACCCTTTTGGGGCATGTTATTGCGTTTCCACATCGACCGGCAGGCTAGGTGCCAGAGGATTTGGCAGTCTAAACTGTACAAAGACCAGTATCAATAACGACTTTCATGCACTATTTAGTGCTCTTACATTGTTCCGGTTTGAAGACGAAATAGACGTTCATTGGCCACTGGGTGCACAAATCTATATGGCATCAACATCATGATTCTACCTTGCATATATTCATACAGGAGTAACATCATCCGAAGCATATGCTACATCGCTCATGCAAAAACCCACCGAACACCAACCACAAATATGTCCCAATCTGTCCAGGCAAGTGGTAAGAGCACAAATGACCTAACTATCTATTATTCCAATTCCAAGGCTCCCTCCTGTTCACCAGCATTCCGGTTAACAAGCTCCTCAAGGCTCTTCGCTTCAGTCTGCGGGCCATCAACGAATTTAATCTCTTGAGATTTTGCTTTCATAGACAATCTTTCATCTATCATTTTAGCCAGGTACACATCTAGGACGTCGGCCCCCATAGGCTCGCCGCCTACACACTTGCTACTCGCATTCTGATTGAGAGCACGAATGGTAAGGTTGAGCTCCTTAGCCAGCTCTTGAAGCGTGCCATGCTCGAGCTTGGCCACTGATGACGAGGTGATCCTATTTCGGAACGTACGCAATGATATGCACATCTGCTCCCCCAACTCATTAAGATCGTTGAGGTTCGCTGCGCTCTTGGTCCGTCGTCGACTGTCCAAAGAAGGAGGTTTAGAGCTAGAGCTGAAAGCATTCTTCTGACTTGATGGGGCCCGTGAGTGGTCTTGCGAGGTCTGGCGCTGAATTCTTCCATTTGCAGGAGACAGCGAAGCGCCTACAGGGAGTGGAAATGCCGGAGCGGAGATCTTGGGCACAGCAGCCAAAGTATATCTGGAAATCTTGCGTCGGACGCGAGACGAAGAAGATGCTCGTATCGGAGTCATTGTGTCGCCCTGGCTTGCCAAAGATTTCTGGAACTCTGAGAGTTCTGCCTTCGACAGAATTTGTCTCAGAGGTTGGGCGGATGGCGGTGTTTGTCTCGAAGGTGATTCTTCGCCATTGGGGGTATCGTGAGATCCAGTTGGTTTTGGCGGGTTGCAAGACAAACCCCACGTCATCACTGTACCATCAAGGCCACAGCTGACTAGGTGATTACGAGGAGGCTCGCCTTGTACACATCTTCGGAGGAGCTTGATAGCGGAAACCGCATTCTGTCCATACTCTCTAGTCAACATTGCTCCCGAGTCGTATTCGTGAATTCTAATGGACTTGTCGGTGGAAGAGACGCCCAAAAGTAAGCGCGACGCTGTTGCCAAGTCATCGAGCTCGTGTACCTCTAGCGAGCTCATCATCACGCTGTCGCCGCTCATAGGGTCTGAAGGCTTGAAGCTGTGCAGAAGACGGCCAGAAGACACATTATATCTCAGAATTTGCCTGTCCAATGTGGAAACCGACACTACGTTCGGCTCGGCAGGTACCGCTGTGAGGGACACGGGGCTGGCCTTGAGTGTGATGACCCTGATGGATAAAAACGCTATCGACTGCTCTTCTCCATGGGCTAGCTTTCGCACAATTATCGTCCTGTCTGATGATATCGATATGAGAGTGGCCTTGTCTAAAAATTTAACGTCGCCAACGGCTGCCGCATGGTCATTCAAGGTCTGAAGAAGGTCCAGGCGGGATTCATGCTTCCGAAAAAGCTGCAAGGTCCTATCTCGTCCACAAGTCGCAACGATAGTCAAACCCGCTGTGTTGGCGACAGCTATGCCATTCATATCTCCGCTATGCGCCTGAACAGCCACGTCCGTGTCGGCAGATCGATCAATGAGTCTAGGGATAAATTGGTCAGCGAATGTTTCTTGGATGATACTGTATATGCAAATGGCGTCAGAACTTACCGCAAAACACCGATTTTATCGCCTGAAAGCAGATGCTCGTCAGACCCTAAAGGAACCACTATCTTTAGATCATTGGTATCGCCATCTTCTGGATAGACTGGCTGCTCCAGAGGAATCTTCATACTGCCAGTGCATGTACCGTCGAGCAACCAGAATAGTACAGTACCTCTTGCTGAAAAGGTAAGAAAATCAGGGCCATCGACCCTGGATTTGGGCAGCAGGCTGGACACCCCAAGTACAGCACTCTCGTGGGCAGGCAGTCTTTTGGAATCGGAAACCCCAGAAGCTCTTTCGGTGTCTGCTGCTCCCTGAATCTCAATAATTCGGTGGGAGTCAATTGTGATGACTCTACCGCGCACGAGCCCGATAGCCATAATATCAGGCACCATGTCTGAGCTGGTTGAGGAGAAAGGCAAAGTGGTACCATGTGGGACTGTTGGTATTGTAGGCTTGATCAAGGTATCTAGATGCAAGGACCTCATAGTGCCTTGCCTGCCTCCAATCCAAACAAGCCCGTACATATGATCGAAAACAACGCAGAGGATGCCAAAGTCGACCTGAGCAACTCTCTCAAGTCGCTGCGTCCGGTGGCTGTCGTCCAGAAGGCAGATATCGCCTTGCGCAGTACAGAGGATAGCCTTACAGTCGGAGATCGCGGCGACGCTGGTAAATGTTGCATCCATCAGAGGTCCAAGTACGCAATTCCGCCCTGCAAAAGCCTTTGGCGTTAGACTCCCATGTGGTCCTATGCCATTATTGTCCAATTCGAGAGGAATCCGCCAGACCTTGGCATGGCGAATTCCAATACTGACTACGCTGTGACCCAGCCACGTAACACGATGCACATTACTGCACTTGTTACTAGAATGTAACCTAGCCGATCCGGTCTTTGCATTGATTGAATATATAAGTATGAACCCGTCATAATTATTTCCAAGAGTGCAAAGCCAACGGGAGTCGTGAGAGAATGCAACGGAGGAGATCCCGAAGCTATGGTCGCCAAGGATAGACAATGGGACGTCCGATGGACTATCAGACGCTGTAGAGAAAATAAGCACCCTTGGATTATATCCCGTCTGTACCCATTAATTGAGGATAGCGAACCTAGGGGCTGGCCAATTTACCTCTCCAACAGCCATAAGATCACCTCCGCGGCTTAGTGACACGCACGATGTTTCTCTGCTCCGGTTGTTGGGCCTACCATGACTTGGTGAATCTGGAGGATAGTCCAGCAAGCTGTTTTGTATTGTCCCACAACCTCCGTCCTTGAGAGGCGATCCATGTCGACTCTTTCCCGGAGTACTGGGTGGCGTTGCTGGATTGTAGAATGATGGAGTTGCATTGACTGGTAATGCATTCGGTCTGGCCCTGAATAGTCGCTGGATGATATTGAGATGCTCATCGACTCGAGAAAGCACAGCGGCGGAGCCGGCGCAACAGACAAAGCTGTGGCGTTCAGGAAGCGCATCAAAGGCATTAACAGAATTTGAAGTGGTACCGACGACGCTTTTGAGGCTTAGTTGTAAACTGTTATACTCTCGAGCATGTTTTGTAGAATTGGGGCTGGGAGTTTGGATAGCATGAAACCTGCTTATCGGTGTGAGCATCGAGCTTCCAGCATGGCCCATCGAGCTCATCCTAGGTAGTTCAAGAGCGCAGTTCGTCCTCATCTGATGCGCAACCTGAGAAGTTGAGCTGGTTCAGCGACAGATGCAAGTGCAATCGAGCCAGAGGTTGCCCGTCGGGGACATGCTAGAACTTCTCAGTAGCGTTCTCCAGACTCTTCACGGTGCCGCGACTGAAATCAAGACATGTTTATACCGCGCGACCCGCTAAAGACCTGCGGACCCCTCGGAGTCAAACAGAATGCGAAAGCTTGGCATCCACACAAGGTCCCGCCCCCTCCTGATTTTGTATGTGTAGACCACCCATCATTGATGATATGACCTAGATCTAATTCATCAATCAATTTTTAATAGTCCGAACTGGTCAGTCTTTGAGGCTATACAGATCTACTTTGGTCCTATAGTGGGCTTTCTCCTGCGGTTCCTCGCTTGAGAGCGCCTATACGTGGAAAAGCCTCTTTGGCCTTCTTGTTACATCCACTTTGAAACGACCTCTAGGCTCTGGAATATTTCTTACGGTCTTGATTGTGCCTTCCTTTACTTCTTATCGTATTCATGCCATGCTCGGCATGCGCTCCTGGTGCGCTAAGACGCTACTTTACCTACACCGAAGCCGCCAGAACAGCTGGCCTGCGCATTCGCAATGTTCGATGCTCGACCATTGATTCATCAAGGCACCTGTTTCACATCGACTCGTCCCTTCTACGGAATCAGGCTGCCTGCACCCGTCGAATCAGTACGTTACAGCCGTCGCAGGTTCCAGGCTTTCAAGCTGCTCTCTCCCCAGTCGAGGACCCTACACGAAGAAAGGAGCCATCTCATCGCGACAGGAATGGCTTGATGATAAGAGTTGAAGATCCCACTGAGATACATGAAAACTTAGTGGGAGTAGCGCAGACAGCGAAAATACCTGTCGAGTTGCGTTCGAGGCGGGACTCGAAATTTTCAGGGTTTCTTAAGCCCCGATCTTCGCCAAAGGATGGAGAATCTTTCGACCAGGTTCGGTTGAAAGAAAATGTGAGGAATCCAGGACAGCGTGGCGATGCAACATCTATGTGGTCGAAAAACTCAATTCGTGAGGAAAACTCAGGATCTTCTAAACTCGCAGGCTCTAGCAGAAAGGCTCGGCTGCAGGACTACTCCTCCAGAACTGTTGAGGGGAGCAATGAGGCAATGCGTTCTTCTCGGTCTGCGAAGGCATCCGCGTATTTTCGAACTGGCACTCAAAATTACAAGGACCAGCGTGAACCATGGCAGACACAGAAAAGCGCATTATCAGAGAAGTTCGGTCCCAGAGGTTGGCTTCCCCGGAAGCGTCTTTCGCCAGACACTTTGGAGGGCATTCGAGCTCTTCATGCCCAGCACCCGGATAAATTTACAACGCCAATACTCGCGGATCAATTCAAAGTCTCGCCAGAAGCTATTCGCCGCATCTTGAAGAGCAAGTGGCGACCAAAAGACGAGGAAGAGGAGAGGAGGAGACAGAGATGGGAGAAGCGTGGAGAGAATATATGGAGTCAACTGGTCGAGATAGGGATCAAACCGCCGAAGAAATGGAGAGATATGGGTGTGGGGAAGTCCAGGGAGACAAAGCCAGCTCGAAGAGAATCGGTGGGGTCTTATTTGGAGTCCAATTCCGAGTCCAAAGTAACATCTAGCCTGCTGGGCCAATCCACTACAATTCTCCATACCATACCAGCGAACGGACATGGGACTGGCTCTCCGGTGCCATTAGGTGACAGGATGCTATGAGCCTATATGTAGGAATATACAGATACTCATACTTAATACTGTAGATTTAAAAATATCGCACGCTAGCATTGAGCCAAAACATCATTGTGAGGTGTCAAGCCTAGTATGTTATTGCAACCACAAGCCATTAAATTCCAGATGATTTCCTGCGGCGAAAATGGACTCATTTGTGGTACATACAACATTAGCTCTCTCCATGAGCCCGCTACGAAGACAACGTCACAGTGAACGGTAGACGCCACGCTTCGCTGCCGCCATTGTTGGCAACTACATCCCACAGTTCAGCCACAGGTGTCAGTATTCCTGGCCCCATGAGCTCCACTGCATGGAGTGACGCTTGGCCGGGGTCATTACCATGTCAGACATCCGTGTGTCTGTGCAATGGAAGAACCCAACAGTCTTCGCCGGCGAGGACATCGAGTGCACAATAACATTCAAGAACATTGCGCTGGTAGGCAGTGTCCGCCGCTCACCATCCCCAAACTGTCACACTGCCAGCCATGGCTCACATCGGGACCGGTGGAAGGAGACTCTGCCTGTGCGCTCCGCCGACGCTCCTACGAGTGCTATGCACAGAACGTCGCCCTCGTTGACAGGCTTTTCTCAATCCCACGCCAGGACACACAAGCAAGCATTGTCGCTCAGCAGCGCCGACGGCTCCCCGAAGTCTCCCATAGTTGATATCACTGACGGCACATCTAGAAGCTCAAATCCGGAGGGAAACAAGCACAGGAGATCCGTCTCGATTGTCTCTTTTCGTGGGGAGGCATACCAGGAGACCTCTCCGCATAGTCAGTTGCTGAGCTCCGGACGTTTAGGCCATGGTCATACTCGTGCGGCCAGTCTGCATGTTATGCCCCGGAGGAACGGGTTACTGAGCAATGGACCATCATCAGGTACTTCTCATTCTGCGTACTGTACTACATGCTAATCACTAGGCCAGCACCAGGAAATGAGCGGGCCTTTACCATGCCTTCTCCTCTCTTCCGTGCTTCTACCTCGTATGCGGAACAACGTCTGAGTCTACAAACTATACCTCACCCAAAGTATCAAATGGTCTCGGACGTTGGTCTTGCCTCTCCAGTGACTGGGACGAGGGATCGCAGTTCCTATCCGAATTACAGATTTCCTCACGTGCCCGCCCCTATAAATGAAGTCTCTGGGCAAGTCCCCTGGTTACCCAACGAACGGTCGCATGATCCTATCAGGAGAGCTCGATCTCCGAGGTCTCAAGACGTTGGCAATGGATTTGACCAATTCAAGCCGGCCACGAGAATCCTTTCGCCTTCTAGTGTCAATGGCACACCGCGGAGCAGCGGCGAATTCTATTCGATGAGCAACAATTCAACCGAGACTCTAGCTTCGGAGTATATTAATCAGGGAAATAGCCGTCTGGTTCACAGGCCAGCTCATAGTCGGCAAGCGTCATGTCTTGCGCCTGCCAAAGCCTCGAAGCCACAAGTGTTAATGATGGGCTACGGGCAGATTACTGGCTTCTTCACCCTTGATGGGTCACTGGTCAATCAAGGGCCATTTGAAGAAGTCAAGAGGAAGGGCATTGTTGGTGGCCAAGGTGGTGGAGGTGTGGTACGCCATAAATCAACCAAGCGAGAGAGTGGACTTCTTGGATCTATAGGCTGGGGAAACATCGGAGGATCTCTTGGTGGCTTTCTTGGTGGGACCGAATTAAGTAGCCTCAAACAGACAAATGACAGCGGAGGTGCAAGATCGATTCCCATTCTTTCAACCCCCCAGTCGATCTTGTTCGTGGATCTTCGGCTCGGACCAGGGGAGAGCAAAAGCTATAATTATCGCCATCCTTTGCCCAAGGGCATACCGCCTTCATATAAAGGACGAGCTATGAAAATATCCTACAATTTGGTTGTGGGCACGCAGCGAGCGTCCAATATCACACAGCAGCACCAAGTCCAACGTGCCGATATTCCCTTCAGGATTTTGCCTAGCGTTAACAGTAAGATCCTGCCTTCGTTGGAACCTGTAATGCTCTAACGCCGGAGTAGGCCACGGTGAAATCCTAGGGCATGACTTGATGTCTCCTCATACAATCTTACAGAATACCGCAGTCACCTCGAGCCTTGACAATTCTCACAAAGCTGGAGTTGTCCCTGGAGATCCTTCTCCGCTAAAAGTCTCGAAATCTTCCCCTACCGAGTTTCTCTCGTATGTAGAAAAGATTCTTGACACACCTCGCGTCGAGTCAGGACTTGGTCTCCTCTCTCCGACAGAGATTGACTCGCGATCACATACGCCCATGAGCGAAGAGCCAAGTACCATGAGAGAATCGATTGATCTTGCTATACTGAGAAGCAATATTGCAACATCGATGAATCGCAGCGCAAATCGGTTTGAGATAACAAGAAGTGGAGAGCGAGTAGCAGTGATCCTGCTTGCAAGGCCCGCTTACCGTTTGGGCGAAGCTGTACCCCTCGCTGTTGATTTTCAAGATTCAGACATCTTTTGCTACTCGTTACATGCTACCTTGGAGACTGCCGAGACGATAGATCCGGCGATAGCACTGCGGTCTAAAGCCAGTATTCAACGGGTGACTAGACGGATTCATGCGTCTCAATTTGAGTCTACCATCTCTGCAAGAAAAGTCCTTTTCAGTCCGATAATTCCTATTGCATCAACCCCAGAGTTTATAACGTCCGGCATCAACCTTGAATGGAAATTACGGTTCGAGTTCGTTACCAGCCGGCTTGGCGATGCCGAGGAACTGGAAGAAGGCATCGAGGGACTCATGGAAGAGGTAGCTAGAGACGAAAGAGGCAGCGTTCAAGCTGCTGTACAAGGGCTACCATGCGAGACTTTCGAAGTCGCAGTACCCTTAAGGGTCTATGGGGCTACGGCAAAATTCGATGAGAAGACTGAAGCAGGCGAAATTTCCATATGAATTGCACGTTGTCGTCGATCACTGCCAAAGATCCTGCGGTGAGCTGCGAATTATGCTGCTAGAAAAGTACTATTGATACACTTTTCGTCGGCGCCTTTAGCAGCGACATTGACCGTCGAAGGCAGCGTGCACGCAACGAGAGCTTTTCTAGGGGTGTTCGTAACTCCAGAACCCCACCTATTCCACGGTAAATGTGTCTGGAAGCCTAGTGCCAGAACATTTAGGAGGATGCCGTAGTGGAAGGCATCCCGTTTTGTTGGCCGAGCAGCCATATTAATATTATCTGCCCAAGTCTAGCTAATCAAGGTGAAGCAAACCCTTTCCAAATCCATTTCAGGGATGACAG